GGGGCTGATTCTTGTTTAAATTTAGGGTTTTTGTTGTCGATCCCTCTTTTTCTCCCTTTCCTTTTGAGGAGAGGGGTTCTGCTGCAAGGGCTGATTGCTCCTGAGTAAGACCAGGTTCCAGATTAGGATTTTAGTACAGCAGCATCTTTTGGTTATGGAGGTGTAACTTGATGATTTCTGAGGGGTATGGAGGGGTGCAAAAGGGAGAGAGTGAAGATGTTGTGTAACAGTTAAGTGCATTATTGCAGGCTGAGAACCCAAGTTCAATTCCTCTGTGGGGAGAATTTTAAAAATAGAATATAATGGGTCTTGCTGCTGGGACATTGTATCCCTCTCAGCTCGGGTTGGCCCTGTTGGGTAGCATCAAAGCAAGCCTTTTAGATGATTTAAATTGTCAATTCAATGTCATGTAAATGTTAAACCCACCTTATATGAAACAAAAGGTCGAGACACACTTTTTAGTAGATCTGAGGTTTCTATGTATGCTATTTCTTTGTCAGACTGGCACTAGTATTAGTCCAGTGGTCACTTAATAATTTGCAAAACAGAAAATGCTTTATGTGAACAAAATATTATGTTTTTCTGTTTTGGCTAAAAATATGAAAGCTTTTACATTGCTGGTTTTTGCGCAAGTGTAGGATGACTACTCTTTGTGAGTGTTACTACTAGCATGTCTGTGGTTCTATGCTCTATTTCAAATTTGCTGTGCTTGCTTTTGGGAAGGAAGTAAGTTAATGGGTAATCATGATCGTGGCAAGCAGCAAATATAGGGGAATGGAATGTCATCAAAATGGCTGAAGCAGTTAGATTTTATATATATTGCCATAAAATATGCCTTCTTGATATCCAGTTTTTGTTAAGCTGGTAGTCGGAACTAATTTTATGGTGGGGAAGATTCAATAATTTCCTTTTCTGAAAACATTTGGTGTGATTTTGAGGAAGGGGGTGGGGGGACATACTTTTTCTTTTTCAGTAGTAGCAATATTTGGTTTCTGTGTCTTATTATATTATTTATAGGAAAATATTCTGTTCAAGTTAAACAGTTTCTCAAGCCACTGTTTGGGATGACTGAAAGATATTGACTATGTGTTACAAATTACTGTGAATTCCAAACTGAATGTTTCCATCTTTTAAGAATTTTTAGCTACTGGGTTACACATTGTTAAGAAATGGTGAAACTATCAGTTATTTATGGAAACACATTTTGATTTTTTTTTAAAGCGTTGTCATTATCTTCCCTGTAGCTTGAAACAGTCTGTAGTGACTTTTGGTACCTTTCTCCAGGAACACACACACATTTCATGTAAAGAGCAAAGCTTGTCTATCCTGTGTACTTTGTTGTGCGATAGGGTGTTGAAAGCTACAGATTGTTTGTATTTATTTGGCAGTGTTGTTAGAAAACGGTGATGGATGACATGCCAAGCATTTCGGTTTCTAGCTCACGTTCCATCAACCTTTTTGTATGCTTTGTTTCGCAGAGGCGGAAGGGAGGACACTGCTGTTGCCGCCATGGCGGGCTCAAACAGCAGACCTACTGGCACCAGGGGCAGACCGACACACAGAACCAGAGCGAAGGGTAACTGTCCCATAGTCTTGTCAGTCTCAAGTGTTAGTGTTCATATACGTAAACTGGCTTGGGAAAATATTTGTTTGGCAAAACTGGAAAGATGGGGGTGTTTGTGGCATCTAAGCTCCCTCTTTGTGGCTTTTGGAGCAAGGTATTGTTTTTTCCATCAAAATTCAGTACTGTCGAAATCTTTGACATGAATGCATCAGTGGCGATAGCACTGGTGTTCGCATTGGACTCTGATGAACCGCCTGGTAAACGTCAAAATTTTTACAGGCACCCACACACTCATAAAAAATTTGCCAACTCGTCAAAAAATATCACACGAGTTTGGTCCGTCAAAATTTTGATTCAAATCTGTTTTTTTTTACCTCAGAACGCCCTACACACAGTCAAATTTGGCTAACAAATTTTTTTTTGCAAAATTTTGACGTTTTTTAAAATGTGTATGGGGCCCTTTAGCTAAGTAACAACACTTCTACTTTCCAATAAAGATTTTTCATGAGGCCCTTTAAAAATAAATGAAAATGAGCCTGAACAGTAAACCAGAGATCCTCTTGTACCAATAGAAAAGCATGACAAAAGCAACATGTTCTACGACATTGTAATCAATCATTGTGCACCAAAGAGAACTAATTGGCAGCAAATTGGTCACTAAGGGTGGTTGGCGTGTGCTCTTGTGTGGTTTGCTCCTTCTTTTCTAATAAACATCTGTTGTCCTTTTCTCCCCCTCCTTTTTTGTGTGTGCTTCTCTGCTGTAACACCTCTAATCTTTGGCACTTATAAGACCTAATGTGTTGCAAGTGCCCTAAAATGACTAAAACTAAGGAAAAAAATATGGTCCCTAAAAAGTCTTGGCTTCATTGCTAACTTAACTCAAAAGCGTTTCTGACTTGGGCAGAAAGAGTAAGCACTTGTAATATATCCATGAAAACCACGAGCAAAAAACATGGAGACTTCAAGTGAATTTGCCTATGTAGGTGGGAGGGGGGAGCAAAGCTTCAGAGCATTGTGCCAAAGATTTGCTGTACTTGTGTGTGTATTCACCAATGAGGAAAGCCAAAGCAGAAACACAGACTTAAATCTCTCTCGTCGACCTTGAATTAGTCGTCGAATCAGAAGATTAAGGCAGGTAAAATTGTTCTATCAAGAAAAAGAGATTCCGGTGTGAGAGAGGTATTTGGTTGGACAGGTGGGGTTTTACAATGAATTTACTTACGTGTTTTGATGACTTATGCCCTGCTGTTTTATGCTGTGTGCAATTTGTGGGAAGTGAAAAAAGACAATGATGATAGATGGAGGGGGGG